CAATATTGATTTGGGGGTTTATATGAATGCGTTTCTGAGGTGAACTGACCGTCTTCAGAAAAGTTTATGTGGTATTTTCTTTTAATCTCGTCTCTGTATAGTTCATATTAATGCAATGTTTCAGCGCAGTGCTGCTTTGTTTACAGCAATAATAAACAAGGAAACGCCGTATGTGGTGTTCCAGAAGCGCCTCCTGCTGTCAGAGAGTGAATCTGTGTCTCATTCAGAGCTTCTGTTTGTTTCGTTCAGGTAGTATAATTTCACAAAGCTAGTCAGAACATTCTGTTTTTGCTTCAAATTGGGTTATTATTAAATCAAATTATGTATATAAAATTATATAACTAAATGACATGAAATAATATAAATGATATGTATATGAATTATATAACTAATTAAATAACTAATTACAGATTTAGGTTAATTTTTCTTCTTTTTAGGAAACTAATCAAAGAAAAATAAACAAATTCTACTGTTTCTAATATTCCTTTATGTTGCTCAAAAACAAAATATATTGTGTTTTTTCACCCAGTCATTTAAAAATAACACATTTTAGAGCTGTAACGACAATACCGTGATATTTTCGCTTAAGGTTATCATACCGTCAAAATCTCATACCGGCCCATGCCTACTCTATGGCAAACGTGCGGGGGGAGGGCTGAGCCCATTCGGAACCACGGGAGCCCAGAGGGGATGTTAAAGAGAAAACCGATTTTCATTCAATCAAGTCGACGTAAACTACACATTCGAGTTAATCGATAAAATCGATTTATCACCCAGCCCTAAAACCAACAAAGAATCACAATAATATAATTATATATGATATTTTTGCCATATCGCCCACCCCTAACTACAACATGTCAAAATTTCCACCAAGTTTTTTTCTGAGTTGTCAACTTCTGTAAGAGACTAAAAAGAGGAAATGGACAGCCTCACCATGCAGCTCCAACAACAGATAGAGAGATGGCCAGGCCAATTCCAAGATTAGCCCACATAAATGGAGAAGTCTCTGTTAAAAACCTGCAACACAAAAGGTTAGGTTAGCTAGACTGCATCGGGAGCATTTCATTCATCTCAAGTCTTAAATTAGGTCTTGTGAATATCAGAAATGTTACTGTAGGGAACAAGACAAGTTGTACTTAAAAAAATAAAAAAATAAAAAAAACTTTAAAAAACTGGTTTTACTGAACACATACCATGCTACATCAAATCGAAATCCAAGGTCAAAAATCGTATAGCAAATACCTGTGAAGGGGGGGAAAAGAGAGACTGGATTAGTAGTGTTTGAGTTAAGGGCTTAAGACAAACCAGAAATGTAAGTTTAAAAGTGACAAAATCTATACCTAAAAAGAAACTCATAGCTTAAATTCGAGGAAAATTAAACACAGTGTTATGTCTTGTAAAATGGCATAATCTGAATAAATTACTTCAGAGTTATGTGCCCTCTAGAAGCTTGCAAGTGAACGGCATATTATTGTGCCATCTCAAAGAGGCACAAAATCACTTTCACTGACTTTTTCATTAACTGTTCCCTCCTGGTGGAACGACCTGCCCAACTCAATTCGAGTAGCGGAAACTACTAAAAACACATCTGCTCCACCTTTATTTGACCCTCTAACTCTAACACTTTCTATTTTAATTCTACTTTATCTTCTTTTTTTTATTTAAAAAAAACAACAAAAAACAAATAAACACTAGCTTTCTATTCTAACGTTACTTGTTTTTCTTTGTGTGTGTGTGTGCTACGTGTACTGCGTTAGGCTAACCGAGACTTGTCATTTGCACTAATATATTGTTGCTCTTTTGTTAGTTTTGACTGCTTTTATTGTCCTCATTTGTAAGTCGCTTTGGATAAATGCTAAATGACTAAATGTAAATGGCATAATATGGATACACTTTTTTCTGCAGAATCACAGAGGGCATATGTGGAAGCTCACAGTCATGTGAGAGCCATCTTCCTCATTTGGTCATAAAACCCTGCTCAACTACATTATAACTACTATAAAAATACACAGACTTGCTACATATTGAACTAAATTGTCCTGCTCTTCTGTGAGATTACAGCCAATGTGTGGAGAAGAACCGATGAAAATACAGACAGCCTAACTTACCAGACAAACATTTCAACTCCAACTGACATAATAAAGACGTTCTTTGTCAGAGCAGTATGTCTTATTCTCATTGACAGCCTTAAAAATGATTGGTACTTTCTCTGTAACTCCACTTTCAACTGTTTACACGAATATTTTATGACAACAGCCTTTAATACAATTACAATTACATTTAAATTCATATTTGACGTAGTCGTGATAGTGTATGACAGCTAACGTCAGTTTAGCCAAGCCAAAAAAAAAGGCTATCCGGTTAAAGAGACATGAGAAACAGAAAAGAATTAGAAACCTAGCCATGTACGAATCAAGTAAACACGATTCTATGAAGATGCGTGTGTTATTTATGCGCCTATGTCAGCTGGTCTCATTAGCACTCACCGACGATCAGGATGGTCGCCCAGAAGGCCAAAGTGACCCCGGTGTATAAAATTGCGTGCCCGTTCATCATCCACTCCACCAACAGCGCCAGTGTTGCTATCTAGAGGTTCTAACGCGAATACACCTAAAGCTACTGTGATGTTATTTTCTCTTAGATTGCTGTATTTTGAAGAGAAATTACGAATCAAGTAAACACGATTCTATGAAGATGCGTGTGTTATTTATGCGCCTATGTCAGCTGGTCTCATTAGCACTCACCGACGATCAGGATGGTCGCCCAGAAGGCCAAAGTGACCCCGGTGTATAAAATTGCGTGCCCGTTCATCATCCACTCCACCAACAGCGCCAGTGTTGCTATCTAAAGGTTCTAACGCGAATACACCTAAAGCTACTGTGATGTTATTTTCTCTTAGATTGCTGTATTTTGAAGAGAAATGGATCCCTGTGAGCCCTTCGAAGCGGCGAAGGCTGGAAATCCTGCATCCAGCAGAGAGAGAGGAAGGAGCAGTCAGCTGATCATGTGACGAGCTCGAGCTGTGCACGTGACTCAAAACGTCCTCTTTCTTATTCTTCTTATATTTTTACGGGGGTTGGCATCCAGCGTATTGGTGCATTACCGCCACTTTCTGCTCCGGAGTGTGGATCAGAAAAGAGGTTTACAGACTAAATCACCCATTCTCCCACCTTTATCCCGACACATACAGGAGCGCGGGGCACAAAGTAACGCGGGGTAAGTTGTAACACAGGTGGTTTAAATATTTCCATACATGCTAGCATAACCAAATTTACAGCATTTACTAGTTACTATATCAACAATTTAAGTGTTTTTTTTATTAAATAAGCTATGTCCCAGTCTTAGCCTAACACAATTTCTTCTCTCCGATTTCCACTATCAACAATTTTATGTTTAACTTCCCTTTGGATTTGATATAAGTGCCTACCTTTCCCTTCTCAGTCCCACCTCTCTTGCCACTTTTGATTTATTCTCTCCCATATTAACGTCCTCTTTCTGATCTCCGATCAGCTCATATAATACAAAATAAAAATAATGTATGCATTTAGCAGACGCTTTTATCCAAAGCGATTTACAGTGCATTCAGGCTATACATTTTTCACCAGTATGTGTGTATATATTGGTTTCTCTTTGATTTGAATAAACTCTGATTGAGATTATAGAGTTTGGAAAACGTTTTGGTCGATCTAATTAAAAAACCAAGGAAGTACAATTTAAACATATTTATAGAATTTAACTGCTCTGCTAAGCGATATTTTACTATTTACATTATCTATCTATCTATCTATCTATCTATCTATCTATCTATCTATCTATCTATCGGAGAAAAACTGATTGTAAACAGCCAGAATAAGAAAAAAGATGAATAAATGTAAATTTGTATCTATTTATTGTAAACTAAAAACTGATTGTAAGCAGAGAGAAGAAAAGAAGAAAAAGAGGAAGAAAATATAATAAACAATATTTTTGTATAACTGTCAGAAAAAAGAACAACGTACTAAAGTATAAAATAATTTTGATTTAAACTCATTGTAGTTCATCTCTCAACCAGTCGACGGCAGTAAATTCCCAATAATGCGAAAAATCTATATTCAAGCTTAGTGTCGGGAGAAAATCCATTGATGACTTGCCATCATCATTCTAAACTTCAGGGAAAAAATCCTCACACGTCCAGTTGAATACCACTTAGTCTGTTTAATGATGCTTAACTGGAGGTGCAGATGTCATTTCTGAGGACAGCATAGTTTTCAAACAGACATCAGACATTACTACTGATATATGCTCTGTGCTCTCGGAACTGTGAATTCTTGTGAGATGGTGAGTAAACAGATCAAATATGTGTGAGATAGTTTCGATGCAGACAATTTGTCAGTCACACATTGATATAAGCTTATCAGTTCCACAAATGGTCAACACATAGGCACTGTGGGAGTCTTATTTTCAGGATGCTGTGCTTCACACCAATTGTCTGTCTGTCCCTGAGAAATTCATCACTTTAGCCAACAGTTAAATCTATGGCCAGGCTTTCATTAGCTTTCTTTCCTTGTGGCAAAGTCAGGCTTTTTCATTTACTATTGATAGTGTGCCTGGTTCATGAGGGCTGCCTGGAATCCATCCATCGGTGTACATTGGGGGGGCCAAAAAACTCAATATTGCAATAAACATTTCATATGCTGAAATAGTTCACATTGAATTTTAATAACTGACTTTTGAAGTCGTTTAAGGTCAATCCCATTCATGCAATTCATAATTTTGTAATAGCAATGTCATTGAGCCACAGCCCTCAGTTTCTAATTAAGTGTGAATGTGTTTGTTTTATTAATTAGAGCTATTAATGGTGCTGTAAGAGATTACAGCTACTTTGCTAATCAGACGTCGTCTCTCTAAAACCCAGCCCTCCAAAGACAGATCAGCAAACCCGAACACATCAAAGGTAGCACTCTCAAAGCAGAGTGTTTTATGTTTGGCTAAAAAAACATGGCTTTTTTGTACTGAAATACAGCTGAAATAGAACATATTAAATAGTAGATTAAACATAAAAAAAAAAAAATAGAAATGCTGTTTGACAACTAAGTGAAATAATTACTAAAAGTTACTAAAATAAAAATACTGAAAGATACTGAAATAAAAAATAAAGCCAAACATCAATATTAGCTAAAAAAACATGGCTTTTTTGTACTGAAATACAGCTGAAATAGAACATATTAAATAGTAGATTAAACATTAAAAAAAAAAAAATAGAAATGCTGTTTGACAACTAAGTGAAATAATTACTAAAAGTTACTAAAATAAAAATACTGAAAGATACTGAAATAAAAAATAAAGCCAAACATCAATATTTAAAAAAATGACAAAACCACATGACAAAATGACTAAAATGTAAAGTAAATTAAAATCAAAACCAAAAAGAAAAAAGAAAATAAATAATAAAATAAAAATTAAAGTTAATTAAAAATGTTAATAAATACTACAATAGTACATAAATAATATAAAAATAAAGGGACATATTTTTCTGTGATATAAGTCAAGTAATAGGGCCATTTTATGCATGGTATTCCAAAAAAATATAAAAAAATAAGTACACTGCGTAAACAGAACATCTAATTATGAATTATGAAAAAAAATTGTTCACATTGAAGGTCTTCTAGAATAAAGATAGGATCGACAGCACATAAGGTGATTCTCCTGTTATTGAATGCATGGTAATTTTCCAAATCTTCAGGGCATGATAAAAGATTTATGATTCATTTTCTATTATTGAATGCAAGCTGTGCGATTACGTAAGTTTGCACTGAATTCCATCCAACCAAAAGATTGCATTTGTCCTAGAGACAGCCTGAGTCATCTCCTATATAATCAGTTTAAAACATTACATAGCTGGATGGGGGACGAGAGACTATTTAAATGAAATATCTCCCTGGGTTAAGTGAGGGAAATTGAAGTGCAAACAACAGTGTAACCAAATCAATGTCCTAAGTTTGTTTTATTCATTCTAGGCACATCTCCACAGCTAAAAACCAGAGAGCAAAAAGCTTTTCAGCTTTAGTAAATAGGACTTAATGAGTGTCAAAGCCTGTGAAGCATATGTGAGTGAAAGTCACAAAACAAGGGTGCATCTGAGAGTACATGATGTATGATCATTTTAACATCGCTTGCCTGAAAGGAACACATGTCCGATATCAGCAGGCCTGGAGCGGCAGATTAATAAAAGGCTGAATGATGCAAACTTGACGTTTTATTCCAGCTCATCCGGAAGTGCTGTCGTGTCATATCTCTGCCTTCTGAGCCAAGCGGATGGTGCATACGGACCCATGTGTTCTCAGTGTCAGGCCACAGAGATTCTTCAGCTCTTTGTGCTAGATTAATTAAGAATCTCAGTAGTGAGCTGTTCGTCAAGTTTTAATTAAACAAGGGCTCACAAATCCAGCATTAATCTTAAATCTCAGCACTTAAAAGCTTCATACATGTTTTGGATAGTTTCTTTAAGAAAAATGAATACAGATAAGATATCATTACGGTAGCCTATTTCTGCCACAGGGTAATAAATAAAGGTAATTGTATATTTTTAACTCATGAGTCTGACTTTTGTTCTTGCAATTCAGTATTGAATCAGATTTGTGTGATATAAACGCACAATTCTAGGAATAAAAGCTTGAACTGAGAGATATAAATTCAGAATTCTGACTTTTGTTCTTGCAATTCAGTATTGAATCAGATTTGTGTGATATAAACGCACAATTCTAGGAATAAAAGCTTGAACTGAGAGATATAAATTCAGAATTCTGACTTTTGTTCTTGCAATTCAGTATTGAATCAGATTTGTGTGATATAAACCCGCAATTCTAGGAATAAAAGCTTGAACTGTGAGATATAAATTCAGAATTCTGACTTTTGTTCTTGCAATTCAGAGTTTACATCTCACAATTCAGAGTTTCTATTTCACAATTCTTACATTTTTTCCTCACAATTTTTCTGAATTCTGATCCTACATTTCACAATCCTGTTTTGTTTCCGCCATGAAGGTTAAAAGATTTTTATATCAAACTTCTGACTTCTTTCTCTCCATTGTGAGTTTATATCTCACAATTCAGAAAAAAAAAAACACACACTTGCAATTCTGACTTTCTACAAATTTTGATAAAAATTTGCAATTACCTTTTTTAGTTTTTTATCCTGTGGTGGAAACAAGCTTCAGTACATCATGATGTTGGTGGAGAATGATATTTTGATTACACATTAAAATGAAGGACACATGAAAATTGATCACAAACTGTGAACCTCGTTCACCCATGCAGTAAGGAGAAAAGGATTTTAACCAGGAATGTGATTTGCATTTTGACATGTCCTTGAATGAGAACTCGAATGGATGGTCAGCTCTTTCCAGTAATAGTTTTATGACAAACAAAACCAGCTAAACCACCTCATTACAGCAGACAGACATTTTTTCTTGCAGCGCTGCAGGTAAACGGTGCCAGCGCAGCTGCCTTGTGTTTTTAAATTGGGTGTGGTGTTCAAGATGTTTAAGGATCTGGGCTGCTAACTGAAAGGATGTGGATTCAGTCCCAAGTATGTGAGTAACCCATCTGGAGAATACTGTCACAGAGATCACAGTCTGACCTGCTGCAAGAAGCTCCTTGCAATTATTTC